ACCTTAAGAAATAGCTAGTTGTCAAGTTTTAATGAGATATCAAAGAATATGTATATTAACTAGCTAAAAAAGTTTCTCTCTTTCCTAGCTACATATCTGTGTCAGGCCACAATTATTCACATATTTCAACTAAAAGAATATATCATAGTAGATTGAATATAGAAGCAGACATTAAAATCCAGCTGTCTTCTATTAAATGAGACATTGAAAAGATTTGCACCAATATATAATAATACCCTTTTTCATTAACTTTTAAAATAACTATTTTTAGTTATTTTAAGTTGTAATGTTAAAATTCATTAACATGCATTTTTTAGTTATTATTATCATTCTTTAAATATATTTTTATTGATTTCAGAGGGGCAGAGAGATGGAAACATCAGTGATGAGAGGGAATCATTGATAGGCTGTTTCCTGTAGTCCCCCCACTGTGGATCAAGCCTGAAACCCAGGCATGTGCCCTGACTGGGAATCGAACCTTGACCTCCTGGTATCACAGGTTGATGCTCAACCACTGAGCCATGCCAGCCGGGCTTAAATTATTATTTTTTTATTTCTAATGTGTGAAACATCAATATTTATAATCCACATAAGCCAAAGCTCTTTGGAGGCTTCAATTTTTAAGAATGAACACTGACACCAAAATGTTTGGTTATCTAGACTTGAGCTGAGGCCTTTAGAAATAAGAGGCAGGGTGAATGAAGAGAAAAAGTATAATTCAGGATACATTTTGAAAGAAGAATGTTAAGATTTGGTGATAATTCAATAGGGGGTGGATGAGATAAAAAGCTTAATAGTAACTTGTATGTTAACTATGTTTTTAAAATTAGAGTCTAGAAACCAACAGAACCAGCGCAGGTTCATGGGTGGATACTCCTCTATAAATCATGTTTTGGGAGATCCAAGGATGGGGGCATGGTTGATGGGAGAAGGAACAGCTAGAAAGAACAGACAAATTCTGGTAAGTAAAGGGCAAGGAAGACCAGATGTTGGGCAAGGAGCAGGTCATAGACAGGTAGAAGCAGAGGAAGGGACTTAACATCAATCAAGACCATGTTTCATTTATCAGACTTGATTCAGAAATACTGCCTTGGAAGCTGATATTGAAGGTCCTGCAGCTAGTAAGTACTGGACATTGTCTATGACGCCCAGAGCTCAGTAGAATTTGAGGAGGGGGAGAGTGGAGAGGAGGCTTCTTTTGATGTGGTGATCTTTGGTAACCTCCAGGGATCTTCTCGGTTCTGACAGTCTGGCTTTAAGAAGATGGGAAATGAATGCAGTAAGTGTGGGCCAAGTTGGAACAGTTTGATAGTCAGAAAAAAAGGAGGGAATTTGTTCTTCTGAGGGAATGGTGTGGTCAGAAAATAGTTTTATAAGACAGAAGAAATATAAACAGAACTGGTGTGTGTGTGTGTGTGTGTGTGTGTGTGTGTGTGTGTGTGTTTTAGGTAAGAGAAATGTAGGCACATTAAATATAGATATGAGTTCATGGAACCTAAAAATTATATGTTAGTTAAAGAAGAGGTCTCTTGGTGTTAAAATTGGTAAGGCAAATGACCAACTTCGATATAGCATCTTATGTCAAAGATGTTTGGTTTGTAAGGTGTTACTCACATCTTTTTGAGCCTTACCAACATATAACAAATAGGTTTTGGCTACTTCCCTGGCGAGGAAACTAAAGAGGTTAACACTGTAAAGGGTCCAGAATCGCTTTAATGTGGGAAAGACCTTTTCTCTGAGACTGGGGGAAGGCGAATAAATGGGTATCAAGGGGACAAATAGGTTTGGAGTTAGAGTGTTGGTAACTGGGGAGCCAGTCAGTTTATGGACTACACACCTGAGTGTCCCCGCCCTGGACATGGTCCAACAGGTGTGAATAGCTAAAAAGAGGCACACAGGAAGTGATCCGAGAAATTCCCTTTGCCATTCTCCACATGATGTTCCACAATGACATGACGTGAGCATTCTTTGACAGCGTTGGAAGCAATATCACTCTCTACTTGCCTAGTGGATTCCTAAGGAGTAAAGCAAATTACTCTCTCAACTCCAAATACAGCCATTGTGAATTCTTTGGATATTTAAATCTGTGAGATGTAAAAGCATTGTTAAGAGAAGAGGTCTTTCTCTCATCCCTTAATCCCACTGGTATTGGGGACGTTACAGCCATTACTGATCAGTGATTTAATATTAACTGCACAGATGAAAGGAAACTTTAGAGTATCCCAGTGGATTTTGGTTTGGAGTGTCATTTTGAAGTAAGAATTCGCTTAAAGAAAATCTCTCTGGCCGTTCACATCTCAGGATTTGGTGATCAACTATGGAGGCAGAAACGCTTTTCCATTTCATTAGGTGCATCAGAGTGAGTGCCCAAGCAGCTCATCTCTTCCAGATTGTCATTGTCACACTTTACCCTGATGTCCTTCTCCCAGAACGAAAGTTCAGTGAGGAAGGCTCTGTGCGTTAGGGAAGGAAAGATGCAGACAGCTTGATGTGGATTGAGGAATTCAGACTGAAGGGGACTTCTGAGGTGGGGTGGGGGGAGGTCATTGGGATGACCTTGTAGAAGAGAGTAATTTGAAAGGATAGTTGGGAAGCTTTCAGAAGAAAAAAATAATCGCAGTGTCTTAATGATTGCAAAAACTGAGATAATGTCTGATCACTCATTTCAAACCTCAGTAGGTTTTAGAATTGGGGTTAGAAGCAAAGTCCAGGTTGAACAGTTCCGAGAACAAGTTAATGGTGCATCTGGGTATCTTGTCAATTCAGGCAGAAAGCCTGGAATTGCCACCACTGCCCAGCTTGTAAGGGGGAGGTTTGGATGCCTCCTTGTCTTTGATAGTCTGGGCCGTGGGTCTGCAGATGCTGTGTAGAGGCAGCAGTGACTGGGCCAGGGGCACCCCAGTTCCCTGCAGGACCGACACAGACTGCAGGGTCTTGGAGCAAGCCCTAAGTGGGCCGTAGGCTCTTTGTCTTCAGGGTGAATTTTGTGGCGGCCAAGCCTGTGCAGCTGCTCTCTCTGCCTCCACAGCAGCTGCCAACTGGGAGTAGTTTCTGGCTCTTTCCCCGGAGTGTTTCAGGTTGAACTAGAAGCTAGACATTCTGGGGCACAGTCCCAGTTGGGTAGCAATCTAGAGATTGTTTCGAAAGGAAAGTGGGGGGCGTGGAGCAGAGAAACTGCTGGGTTCTGCCCCTTGACCCACTTCTTCTTCTTTTCATGGGCATCCTGTGTTTTTCCTCTGGTCCAGCTGCCACCTAAGATAAAGCAGCCGCCCTGCCTGAGCCCTGGGCAATGAGGGTGGGACTGATCCTGTTCTGAAGTGGTTCAGCCCTTGGGTGTGCCTGGGTTGTGCCCATTTGGTTTGGTTCCTGCCTTCTCACCCAGATGCCTGTGTACCTTGGGAATCAAAATGTGGTTGAGATGTCTGGTGGGAAGGGGCCTCTCCAGAATGGCTGAGGGTGTGGCTCCCTTAACCCTGTTGGCTTAGGCCCACTTCCCCTTCATGTTATGAGTTTGACTCAAATGATCCAGGGCTCTCTTCGCCCAGGCAGTGAAGCCTGTTTTTTTTTTACCCCTAGTTTTCTAGAACAAATACTGGTAAAAAAAAAAAAAAAAAAAAAAAAAAAAAAAAAAAATCCACGTTGGTAAACAGCTCTTCTTCCCACCCCAAGCCCTGGAAGCCTTTGAGAGTACGCAGCGGTTGGGTGCTTCTCCTTCATGTGAGTGAGGGTAATATGGGTGGTCCTCTCTTCTCTGCTTATTATGATTTTCGAGATTCCTAACTAAAGGCAGTCAGCATTGAACTTTGGTGCCGATAGCACAACTCAAAGGTAACGCTGCTGTTTTGTTCTTCTTCCCTTATTGTATTTTTCTAAGACCTGTTACTCTTATCTGCAGATTTCCACATCTAGGGAAAATTGGTTCATGAATGTGCAGCTCAAGACAATTTAGCAGAATGAAAAAAAACATTAAGACGAGAGATGGTTACAAGTTGCATATTGTTCTTAAGCTCTAACTTAAGTAAGCAGTTTGCTTTCTACATCATTTCATTCCCTAATGGATGCTGATTTTAAAATGTAAGAGAGGTGTGAGAATAATGTGACTATCATTTTGTCAACCATAATTAAGTAATTAGGCTTCTGGATACAAGCTTAACCTACAGCTCAGCATTTACATCAAACCCAACGATAAAATTTTCTTAAGTGCAAAAACCAAGACGACCAGCCTTAGGTCATATAAGACAGGAAAGTTTTCCGAGCATACCCTGAGACATTCAGGTAAAAGGTGCTTCTAGCTTTAATACGGAGTATGTTGAGAACACAGCCAGATTTTTCTACATTTGGATGGACAGTAAGGCATTATTATTGGATCCTGTCTCTTGGGACTCATTTCACTGGGATTTAAAAATCTTTGTTTCAACTTTGACTTCTGGTGATTAGCCCTTGGGTTGAAATCCTGGATGTCTTATCACTGCTGCAGGGTTAGGGTTAGAGTTACGGTTAGGATTAGGATTAGGGTTAGGGTTAGGGTTATGGTTAGGGTTAGGGTTAGGCTTCTGCAGAGCAAGTTTCCACCCAAGTGGTCCTGCCCCCACCTTGCCAGCATGCCTGTTGCATGTTACTTTATTTTAGTCTTCTGTGGGCGTTGGCCACCCCACTCTCAAAGAGGAAGATGAAGGCCTTTTTCTGCTTTTGTTGTCTGACATACCCCATTTTTCACATGACATGGAACTAAGAATAGCTTTCAGATAACAACACTAGGTTCTTCTGACTCAGGTCAAGTATTTCACCCTTTGCCCTTGGAGTTCCTCTTTTCCCCTTTTCAGCGTGTCACAGCCTCTTAATGGACATGCGTTGCCAAAGGACAGGCAGCAGTGTCAAACTTTGTGCATTTTGTAAAAGTTACACAAGAGCACCAGACAGGCAGCTGTGGTGCCAACTCCCCAGATGTGATACTGAAACTTCCCAGAGGGCATCTTCATTGTTTTCTTTCTTTGTTCCAGAAGCAAAGGCCGATAATGAACCGAGCTGTTCGCCGGCAGCTCAAGAACTGTTGACAAGGCTGGGATTTTTACTGGGAGAAGGGATCCCAAGTGCCACACACATAACCATTGAAGAAAAAAATGAAACCATGGTAATGCCCGGGGAGCCCACTGCATCCCAGACCTCCTCCGAGGATGAATGAAGGGACAGCCATCTTGTCCCACCTGGAGGGGGGAAGTCACTGGTTAGTCCAGTGGTCGGCAAACTCACTAGTCAACAGAGCCAAATATCAACAATACGGCGATTGAAATTTCTTTTGAGAGCCAAAAACTGTCTTTTGCGCATAGGCCACGAAGTTTCAGCCCGCACGTGGTGTTTTGTGGAAGAGGGGCCAAAAAGCTCTATGTGGCTCGAGAGCCGCAGTTTGCCGACCATTGGTTTAGTCAAATGAATTTGGGCTGTTGTGTATTGAAATGTATTGCAACTTCTTGTGGGTTTTTGGTGTGGGCGGGAGGGGATGAGGAAGGGGGAGACGCAGGAGGGTGCAGAACTTAAGAAAATGTCCACATTAACCTTCCGCAGTCACCACCTGGAGAAGAGTGGCTAAACGAATCGAAGTGGCTGAGAGGATGCCTCAGGAATGATGCTCCTTTATCTTTATAGCCCCATTCTTCTCATGTGGCTGCTTTGGTATATGCTTTCCTGTGCCTTTTTTTTTTCTTTCTTTCTTTTTTTTTTTAGCACTTGAGATTTTGGAGGGTCAGCAGGGTGAGGAAAAGATTTATAGGAGCTGAGGCAGAGACAAAATGAGATGGAACCAAACGGTTCATCTGCCAGAGAGCACTCTCCACCGCGGGCACGGCAGCCTGCCTCTTCTGAGCCGAGATGTGCCCGCTGCATCGCAATGAGGGGCCGGAGCTGGCTGCTGCCCCTGCAGGGTCTCTGTGTGGGCGTCATGCCTCGGATGAGATCGCACTGACCACCAGCCCCCCTCCCCCCGCCCCTGGGGCCCGTAAATCTCCAGGAATTGAATCGGGTTGCGGCGCCCGTGAAACATGACAAAAACAGAGTTCCCAGATTTTCCGTACAGAGGTCAGAGGACCCATTTGTCTTCGGCAGACTTGAGATGAGAGGAAGTCTGCCTGTTTGCTATTTCTGTTTTCCAAACGTGCCTTCCCACTCAATTATTTCTGAGAGTGCCCTTGCCATAAATAAAACAAACCAAGGGGAAAAAAAAAAAAAATCAGCAGAACAAGGATGTTTTCCTTAAGCTTTCAGAGACCGTATAGATAGTAAGCTCCAAGATTTTAAAAACCATTTTTCCACGTTCCTGTTTTTCTTGTGGTGGTTTTAGCATCAAAAGCAAAAGCATGTGTGGAAGCGTACTGTGTGAGCCCTGCTAACTTACCTCCTTCCGTTCGTCTTACAGTGCACAGCCCTGAGCCAAGGCATCAGTCCTTGCTCCACACTAACAAGCAGCACCGCATCTCCTAGCACCGATAGCCCCTGCTCCACCTTGAATAGCTGTGTCAGCAAGACGGCAGCCAACAAAAGTCCCTGTGAGACCATTAGCAGCCCTAGTTCCACCCTGGAGAGCAAGGACAGTGGAATTATAGGTAAGAAGCACACTGCTCGGTAATGTAATGGCTCAATGCACGTCAGCCAGAGCGTTTGTACACCAGGCTCTTCCTGGGAGGGGTTAGCACGCTCAGTGAAGGTCGGTCTGTCAGCGCTTTGCAGACAGCGCTGGCTCTGTGCGCAGCCGACAGAAGGAAGCATTGGCTTTTACGTTCCTTGGCGTTTCTTGTATAACACCGGGCTCATCTGGTAAAAAAAAAAAATTCCGGATCGGATCTCGCCTGTGGGGTTATAAGAATCTGCCCTCCTCACCAGTGAGTTGCATTTGTTGGAGATTGGGTTCCATCCGGATGCAGCAGGGCAGTGAAATCCTGGCATATCTCGGAGTCTCCTCGGTCCAATCTCAAGGTCACTCACATCCCTACGTATTTCCAGGAGTTTGTTCTTTATTTTCTCATAATGGGATCGGACCAGTTTTTGAGGCCAGGATTTTCTGAGAGTGGCTCCCTTTTGATTCCCCCACACTTGCATAGTAGGCTTGCTTGTCCTGACGGGGTGGGACAGGAGACGGGGATTGAGGTCCTGACTCAGGCTGCTCAGCTGCCTTGCTTGAGCAGTGTTGAATTGAGCTCTTGCACGTCTCTTTCCTCTCTAAAATGAAGCAGTCTGATTAGTTTAGTAGTTTCTGGTCCCAGGTGCGTAGTGGCATCATCCAGGGAGTTTAAGAGCCCTTGTTTTCACATCTCATCCTGGACAGACTCACTTAAGTTTCTGCAGGCCCTTCAGGTAACAGATGTGTGGGACCCCTGGAGGGCTGTTCAGGTCCTCCTCTGCTCTAAGTCCGTGCTGCTGTTAACACCTGTGCTCTACCGAACAATTCAGCTACTTCCCATATTAATATGTAATTAAACAGAATGGCATGTGAGTTTCTGATTTTCTTCAGTGACCTGCGATCTCTTTTGCAGCGCAGTTTGAAAATCCAAGTTGCAGGTTCAAAATCCAAGTCTGTATTGTAGAGGTGGCCCCAGAAGGTGAGATTCCCGTGTCCAGTTTGGGGGCAGCCTGGTGTCACCCTCACCATGGCTTTGTGTGGGGTCCCTCAGCATAAGGAAGGCATTGTCTTCCTTCAGTTTTTACTTGGATTAGGCTCTTTGCTGGGGTTTTGTTTCGTTCATTGCTTTATTGACATATAATTCACGTACTATAGTATTCACCCATTTAAGCCACTGAATGGTTTTCGTTATATTCAGTTATATAGCCATTACCACAATCTGATTTCAGAACGTTTCCATCACCCCAGAAAGAAAACCTATGCCCATTAGAAGTCACACTTCATTTCCCCTCTCACCTCCAGCCCTATTCAGGCTACTTTCTATCTGAATAGATTAGCTGAATCTGGACATTTCATATAAATGGTGGGTGGAGGTTTTTGTAGCAAATTTAAATTCTCACCTCACTCTGCTTCCCCACCTGCTGTGTAGTCTAGTTCAGCTAACTTTTCCTGTGTTACTTCTGTTCTCATGCCCTCATGTCCTCCCTCTCTCTGAGCTGCTCACCATTGCCAGATCTCTAGTATTAATCTGTGATAGCCTGGTAACTTCCTTTACACCATTCTTAGTGCTTCTTAAATTCCCTTGCCATACAGTTGATTTTTATTCAAGGAGTCAGCCAGTGCTACCATTTTGGGGCAGACAAAAAACTTTTCCTTTACAGTGTATGCTCTGGCATTAGCATTATTGGCATTATTGGCATTAAGAAACCAAGCCAGTTTCTTATTTTGACAGAAACTTTTTCAGTCACAAAAATATGACCATTCATTCATTCATTCATTCTTCTCTCTCGCTGTCTCTTTTTCTCCCTCTCATGGAGATACAGTGCTGCAATTTATAGAGTTCTAATAAAAGGAAAGAAAAGTTGCTGGTTGAGTTTTATTTATTGTCCATGAAAGACCGAGGTGCTGGAATATTGAAGCCCTTAATGAGTGCTTGATTTAATTCAGGTCCCCTCAATCCCAGACTGCTTCTCCTATTACACATTCTCTACAGCACTTCAGTATTTCCTTCAGTTGACTTTTTCTTGTTTTATTATTTACTTCTGTCTCCACATGGAAAGAGGTCTCATCTGTACTATCCCAGCTCTCCCCTGAGCTCCTGGCTCGGAGTCGGGAATGAGAAATGAAAGAAGCAGTGCAGGCTTCCCATCCAAGTTGGCACTGCCCCATCATTTAATGTCACCCGTATTTTAAGCTCTCTTGATCTTATAGCTAAATGGCACATTTTAAGGCATTGGAGCTGTCCTTCACTTTTTGGCTCAAGACAGCGTGTTCCCTTAACTCAGCAGATGAGTGGGAGGCATTGAGAAAGGGATAGGTCCCTCTTTTACGGAAAACTCCAGATTGGAGACTGGGCGTCTTGTTGCTCTAGCTGGTCTGCAGGTGGCAAGGATGTAGGTGGCTGGGAGGGAAGCACTGAGCTGGTGGAAACGCTCCTCTGTGCCCTCTCCTCCCCTGGCCTGCAGAGGGACAGGCTGTGGCCAAGGGACACACTGAGGTGTGGCGTAGGGGGCAGGAAGAAAAGCAAGGGTTTCCTCTCCAGACGGACTGTAGCCACAGCTCTTTGAAGGGGCAGGAGCGGTGGGGCCGAGTCAGGACAGGGTGTGCGAGCTTCATGGCCCTTCAGAAAGCGGGCATCCATGACCCGGTGGTGCGTCTGGGGCCGCTGGGGCTGCTTGTGTGCTTTTCCCCCCGAAGAACAGTGTTTGTTTTGATAAGGTGTAGCCTGGGAATGGCAACCTTGGGACCTCTTCAGCGTTCCACAGAATGAAATAGGAACACCGTGATCCCAGTGGGCAGAGATGAAAGGGAGATAGCTTGGCTTTCTGGTTCAAAAGGCCTGGCAGCTGCTGCTAAAATAGGCCGATCCGGGTCCATGTTCCAACTCAGAGCCTGAAGATGAGGGGAGGAGGCTTGCCACTTCATTTTCCATCTTAAAGTTGTTTAAGACTTGTCAGTCCATAGAGCCGGGTCCGAGCGGCAGAGGTCCCAGGGCCGGCCGCTGTGAAGCCCACGCAGCTTATGGCACAACACGCTTTGGGGAGCTAGAGGCTCCCGGACTATCGGGCTCCAATCAGACTTCCAGCGCGAACACAAGTTATGTGGGACTGCTAGGGAAATCTCAACCCATCCTTCAACATTCCTGGGCCTCCCCTTCCACTGAAGCCGATTCCCATCGGGCTGATTGTATTTGATCTCCACTTTCTGCCCAGCAGTGCCGAGGGGAGCTTGTTCCCACACGCCCAGCCAGCCTCCTCGGGGCCGCCGGGTGCTCCGCCTGGGTTCTGTTTCCACTGGCTTTGACACATTGCAGGGGAAGAGAATTTTCCTTTTAGGAACTGCTTGGTGGGGGAACAGGCGGGCTAATAACCATTAGAAGAATTTATTGGGCCCCTTCCCGTCTTTCTCTGTGGAGGCCAGAGCTTAGCAGACCTCCCCTTCTACCTTAGCAGGACCCCCCCCCCTCCTCTGTTCCCACTTTATTGTGTTATACAGAGGGGAGTCCCACTTTATCCTATTTCAGAAGGCTCAGGTTTTGCCAACATAAATGCCTTTAGAAGTATAATAATTCTGTCATGTAGAAATACTGTCTAAGCTGAATGGGATTAACCGAATTCCCTATGAATATCTTCTTTCTTTTCTTTTTTTTTTTTTTTAAGTGAAATTCCTTACTCTACATATATTGAAATCATTGGCATGACCTAGACGTTAGTGTCTGATTTTTCAAATTGGACATGTGAAAACCTTCCAAATGTGAAACCCAGCTGTACCCAATCATCGTAAACTGGTTTCTCAATTACTTGCTTTGAAAAGGGAAAAACTTTATAAAAGAAGTGGCTTTTAAAGGTGTTTCCTCCATGCCTGAGAAAATATTTTTTTCTTCGTGATACTTCCTTGATGTAACTTGCTTCCAGCTGTTACAAATGGAAATTGGAATAAAGTATATTCTCTTTGGAATCCGTGTGAAAACCAATCTGATTTTTTTTTTTAATTTATTGACGAGAGAGAGAGAGAGAGAGAGAGAGAGAGAGAGTCAGACAGACAGAGACAGACAGACACAGGCAGATGAACAGACAGAAACATTGATTTGTTGTTCCAGTTACTTATGCATTCATTGGTTGACTCTTGTATGTGCCCTGACCGGGGACTGAACCGAAAACCTTGGTGTATTGGGACAATACTTTAACCAACGCTACCCAGACAGGGCACAATCTGATTTTTTTTTAAAAGCATCACTGCAAATAGTGGGTTTTGAAACATGTTTTATATAAACATATTGTTTAGTATTTATGTCCATAGCATGATCATCATTTTAAGTGTGTTTGTGTACCTATCTTAAGAAAATGGGCTTTTCTCTATTAAGAAAGAAGGAAATTGGATAATAGATGAGAAAAAAACAAAACAATACCCAGCTTTCCATATCAAGATTTTTAAAAATAGTCTTTCTGACCCATCAATACATGTGGCCAGGACAAGGACTTGCAGGTAGTGATTAGAACAATTTCTGGCTGAGAAAAGAGGTTGTAGGAAGTCAGTCATCTCCTCTATATCCTCCTTCCACTGTCTGCAGGTACCTGCTGACGCGTGTCACCTGCAGATGGCTTTTGGGGCTGTGTTTCCTTCTGAGAGCTGGTGGGTGTGAGGACAGCTCCGGTGGGTGGGAGGTCCTAGTGACAGGGGCCTGTCTCCCCCCTGGGCGTGAATCCCGCACAGGGCAGGTGTGTTCACCTACCGGGGTCCCCGACATCTGAGCCACCGCCCTCCGCTGGGCCAGGACGATGAAGTGCCCAGGATTTGAAAAGGGGAAAAAGCAGGAACGGGGGTTCTTCCTGCTGCCGTTCCCCCTTGCACTTGCTTTTGTCCTTCTCGCGGTAAAGCTGGGAGGCAGGTATACGAGCCGGCAGGGCAAGACCTTCACAGAAACGTGTTTCCTGCAGCAGTGATTTCCAGTGAAATAATGACGCTTGGATTAGTATCCTGCTGGCG